GTGTGTAGTGTAGTAGTAGTGTAGTAGTAGTGTAGTAGTGTAGTAGTAGTAGTAGTAGTAGTAGTAGTAGTAGTACGTAGTACGTAGTAGTAGTAGTAGTAGTAGTAGTAGTAGTAGTAGTAGTAGTAGTAGTACGTAGTAGTAGTAGTAGTAGTAGTAGTAGTAGTACGTAGTAGTAGTAGTGTGTGTAGTAGTAGTAGTAGTAGTGTAGTAGTAGTGTAGTAGTAGTAGTAGTGTGTGTAGTAGTAGTAGTAGTAGTGTGTAGTAGTAGTAGTAGTAGTGTGTGTGTAGTGTGTGTAGTAGTAGTAGTAGTAGTGTGTAGTGTGTGTAGTAGTAGTGTGTGTGTAGTAGTGTAGTAGTAGTAGTAGTAGTAGTAGTAGTAGTAGTAGTAGTAGTAGTAGTAGTAGTAGTAGTAGTAGTAGTAGTAGTAGTAGTGTAGTAGTGTGTAGTGTGTGTGTGTGTGTGTGTGTGTGTGTGTGTGTGTGTGTGTGTGTGTGTGTGTGTGTGTGAGAGAGAGAGAGAGAGAGAGAGAGAGAGAGAGGAGGTCATTACCAGACAGCCAAACAGCTTGACTGGCATCATAACACTGAAGGCTGCGTCTCTCCGAAAGCGATTTCTCTTCAAACTAATGCTTCCTCAGGCCGAGGCAGATGAATCGGCTTTCTGCTCTTTCAACAGTACTGTCCCATTTCTTTCCTCCTTCAGGCGAGAAGCAACTGGTCAATTCCCCTAGTCCCGCTAGTTGTTCTTCTTCATACTCGGTATCGTGCTGCAGAAAGATTCACTCTCTTGTCAAAGCGAAAGCTGCTGGTATTGAATGGTACATTCCACCAAAGCTGTAACATTCCATTGTTAAACCTCAAGGCACCTGCTAGATTAATGCTTGCATGTTTTTTATTTCACATTGTTTACTTTTGTTTGCTTGCCTCACCTGTCTTAGAGAGCTGGATGTTGGCCTGTCTTCGCCCGTTACCGTTCTCCACGTAGCACGAGTAGTTGCCCAGGTCGCTCTCCTCCACGGACTCGATGGTCAGAGAGATGGAAACTTCCTGCTCCCCTAGGTGCTCCCGGATAGTCCTGCAGGGGCGAGAAGGAGCACGGGAACATTGACATGTCGAACAACCGTAACATTATCCCCCTTTGTATGTCTACTCACTCAAAGTATGCTTAATAAAGGTCACAACACCCCTACTTGTGGCCCTATTTATCAACAAGAAACCTATACTTTGCAGGGGTTACATTTACGTTATCAATGAACCATAAGGTAGGAGGTGACAGACCGTGACTGACAAGGGGCCGGCAATAGAAGTCTTGACAGATTTCTCCTCATGAAAAATAGTTCTTGGTCGTCTCGCTGAGGCTCTTGATGTTTACCGGTTGTGACATGTTGGTCCGGGGACAATAGTGTGACTGTCATGATGCACTACAGCACAGAGCTATCACAAAACATTTTGTCACGAGGGTTAGTAAAATGAAAAATCTCTTTAGATGTTCTTGTTGCACAGAATTGAGCCAGTAATATACACTTCTACAACAACAACAAGTGAAAAAGACTGCTTTCTTCACAGAGAGTCCTAAAAACAACACTGGGACACTTCGATGCTTATTTGTCTCCACTGGACACTTGGCATGGTGTTGTGTAGCAGCCTGCTCTTCATTAATTTAAATGAGCAAAAGGAAACAACTAGCTTCAATGCAAAAACGCTGACGATACTAACAAGCAAGAAGGGGGATGTCAAAAAGTCAAGACATCGCTTTTACACAAACTAAGCACGTTTCCAATTAACAGTCTGGGGTCATGTAAATGTATAAACATTTCACAATAGAGGCCCAAAATACTAATATGAACCTTAACATTAGCATAATGTGTCCTCTTAAAGCTATTGTGTGGTTGAGCTTCTTGGAATTATTTGTTTAGACCCATGCAAACACGATGGCGCAGTTCGAAAAAGATGTAAAAGAAATGATCCAAAAACAGCAAAATAAAGTCCCAGTCTTACTAATAACGCCTGGTTAAAGCATTTCTAGCAACTAATTGAGTACATGGATTGCACCTTGCACTATCGCCACTACATTTTTTTAAAGTGCACCCAGACCTTGGATCGATTCGCTCTGTCCGCCATGCGTGCGGGAGTCTCTCAACAATAATAAGAGCGCTGTTGAGAGAGATGAGGAGTGGCATTTACAGTCATAGATATATACAGTGGCCAATCAGAGGGGTCTCAAACCGGATACATCACACGGGATGAGGGTTCCCAAACCAGAATGGTTTAAAGTTAAACTAAGGAAGTAGACGTAACAGATATACCGATAGCAGCACCGTTTGTCCAACGGCTTAAAGGAAAATCATCTTTTTAAGGTTACAAAAAATCGCAAAGCCCTGTTTAATGATGCATGGGGGCTAATAGTGCAAAGAGGGTCCAGCCTGCCGCGGGGCATCTGAAAAGAAAAAGAAAACTCCTCTAATTCCTGCTGATGTATAGTTAGACTAAACAAAGCAGATTGTGAAGTGCAGGGGAGATGAAACACATTACAATACAACCACTGCTGCATGGAAATAACTCACATTCGCCTTCCAAAGTGCTAATAATTGTTATCTCACATAGAAAATCTCACTCTCGCAGTGAAATTTCTTTTATTGCCCATGAACAATGAGGAACCATTAGAGGTAATTATGTTACATTTACATGGACTAGCTGCTTTTATAAAAACTAAAATATGAAGAATTTATTTTTAAAGCTTCTGCAGGAGAGTCCTGTCTTGTATGCGAGCAGGAAAATTAATTGAGTCTTTTATTATAATTCTTGTGAGCTTTTTCTAACACTCATCCTTCTCCATTGTGTGGCCACTCATGCAGAGACACAGGGCTGTGCAAGGTTAGGATATAGATCCACACTGATGGCTTTTTAAAGAGGCGGCACCCATGTGTGACTCAACATAGACCGAGCTGAAACACTGTAGCTGTTTGCAAAGAAAAGTACAAATCAATCTGTGTTAACAAAAAGACTCCATCATGCATTCTTGCTGGGGAATGTTTGTTCGAACAATTGATGATGTGTTGAAAGCAAACATTTTGTGGATAGTGTGTTTATGGTAAAAAGCAGGATGGAGAAGTGGATACTGTACACACCTCAGGGACGTTTGAAAAACATCTTGGAGTTTATGAAAGCATCATGGCTGAGGGGCCTAATCCTACATCCTCATTATTTATTTCAAACAAACATCTCACATTAGCCTGAAACCTTGTATTCCTCTTTGAACGGCTCTCACAGCATATACAGTACCATCATCTCTATATCATCCAGTAACATCTCTCCGAGCAGCCTTCATGTGACACCTGAACTTTTGAACTGTGCCGAGTTGTCATGATTTGCTTTATTTTACTGGCTGTTGCTCCATAAAGTGTTTTTTTCCTGCCGTCTGCACCTCTCCTGACTACGCCCCTAAGGTACATCGGAATTAGATCGGACCACAAGCTCTTAAAAGCAGACTTGAAATGTAAAATTGTTTATAATGACAGATCACCCAATAGCTTGGAGTTAGCTAGCTTGTTGCATTAGCAACAGTTTTTGTTCCAGTTTTTACCCAGTCTGACACAGGAAACAACTATCACTGCTCACTAGTGTTTGGAAGTAAGCAAAGGAGTCCAATTAAGGCTGGGAGTTTAGCCTTTGCAGACCATTTACATGCACAAAAACCTATATCACACACTACAGGGAGAGGTGAGACGTGCAACGCTAATACGCTGCGAATGGATCTGTCCCTTCCTACATCCAGGACATGGTTAAACCGTACACCCCAGCACGTGCACTCCGCTCTGCATCGGCCAAACGGCTCGCTGCACCCGCACTGCGAGGGGGACCCAAGTTCCCATCAGCAAAAACTCGTGGGTTTGCTATCCTGGCTCCAAAATGGTGGAATGAGCTCCCCATTGAAATCAGGACAGCAGAAAGCTTACACATCTTCCGGCGCAGACTGAAAACTCATCTCTTTCGACTCCACTTCGAGCGATAGAATTACTAACAAAGCACTTATATACTAATAAAGGACTGGCTTATCTAAAGCCAGTTGAGCAGCACTTGAAATGTTTGGCTCTATGAAACCTGATGTAATTATATGATTCTGTTTTCTTCAAGGTTGTATCTCCCTGGTCGAATGTTATAGGTAGTGGAAGCAATGCTGGACTGGATACTCCACATGGACATATCTGAGTTAGAAAACAATGATATTTTACACTTAAAAGGTCACTGAATGACCGTGCACCAGGGACTGAACACTTTTTTAAAAAACTGCCTGAGATCCATGAAGTGTTGTTCTGCAGCCACACAATTTGTTATCAACCCCCGAATCTCAGTGGTGAAACATGGTGCCAAAAGCATCGTTTCATGCATTACAGGCGGTTCTTTAGGGAATTCTCCTGCGTGATTAATTTCCATTTCAAAGCTAAGAACGCATGGAATGATGTCAGGGAGTGGGTTTGAAGTGGCGCACATGAAAAATGGGAACAAAAAATAAAATAAATAAAAACACATAGATGGGGAGGCGGAGTCACGCCTTGGTGCACAACACAAAGATGCACTTGAACACACATGAACACTTTTAAAGAAGCTCAGGGACACACTCTTGATCTCTTGGCTTGTTACCTCATTTGAGTATCATATGAAAGCAAGGTCTCTCACCGCATGTGATGCACTTCTACTTTATTCCTCATCCTTATTATCCCACCTACCCAATGCCGTCACCTGCCACCCCCCTTAGTGTTGCAGGCTCTAATTGGCCCGGTGTCCTTCACAACAGAGCGCGGTGCTGAGAGCTGGACACAATGTGCTAGATGGCTAATAGAGACATCTCCAAATGCCAGGTCAGTGACTCGGCCGCTAGCTCTCCTCGCAGCGTTGTCATGCTGCTTACAGTTAACCTTTTCGTTGGACGCCATTTGTAGACGACAGGGATTTTCTGGTCACACATCGACACCGTCAGAGAACAGTGGGGAAGGACATGTGGAAATGTGATTCTACCAGGATAAGATTGTTGATTTGGAGTAATAACAAGAACTTTTTGAGATGCAAAATTAAGTCAAATGCTGTTATAATAAGAACAAATTGTTCTATGTTGTAGAAAACATGTCATAGAAGAGGCACAGAATACAAATGTGAAACCTGAAAATTAGCATAAAAGGACCCCTTTGAAATAGCTAGTTTTTCCTTTTCTCATTTCACTTTTTCCAATATGACCTAAATGTATCTGAACCAAAACATATCTCCGCCACTATCAGAGAACATCAACTTGGCTGCTCTACATAAAGTTTTCTAGACTTCTTTTTCCACACGGATGTTTCAAACACAATGAAAACTGCAAGTTGCTGTTTCCTGACATAAAGTTGAAGGGGAAGTTGTTTGTAGTGTGCCGTTTGGAAAGGATAACCTACTTGTTTGAGAGTTCAATAAACTGGAGATCCAATGTCCTAAACCACCTGAAACCAACTTAAACACAGCTGGTTTCCACCAGATGTTGGAGTACTGTTTCCACAGATGAGCCAAAGAGATGGAGGTCACCCAAATGGAAAAGGAGGCCAACACATAGGTTTATTCCCATTTTCTGTGCTGCTCTGCTATTAATGCCTCCACTTTATATTTCAGTGCAAACTAATCTCTGATTACTTGCACGGATAGAACAATGCCTGAACCGTGCATATAGATTGTTCATGATAAAGAATGCATAGCTATCTGCATTATTAAACAGCCGCATACATCATGCATGGATTTCATTTAAATGATAGCGCCGTCGTGATAAAAAGTTCCTTTTGTGTTGATGTGTGGTCACGCAGGTGTGGTAACTGGGTTTACCAGTTGTGCTCCAAGGCCCTTTGCTGCTTCTGATGAGACTAAATGCACCTCATGAATAGGTTATAAGATGATGCCCGAGCTTGAGTTTCACTCCCACACACTCCCCTCCGCCTGAAACTCCTCCATTGGACTCCTTTGTTTACTTCCGGAACTTAGTGACATCACTATGTAACACTCGAACATGATATTTTCTCTTAAACACTTAGGATTAACACTAAAACTCCTACTTCATTTCGGTCTCTTGAACGCGTTCCTCATCCAGATCCTCGATGAACTTCTCCCCCTTCATCCAGTAGATAAGTGGACTGACGTCTCCGCTGTATCCGAAGAACGCTCTGCACGTCAGGTTAAGAGGACTTCCTGTTGGAGACAAGAGACAGGGGATGAGGTAACACCTGTAGGAACATGTAAATCAGGAAGATTGTTGCTATTTGTTGACACTGTCAACAGTATATCATTTGCACAACAGGTAATAAGTAGAGCAGTGGTTCTCAACTGGTCAGGCCTCGGGACCCACTTTTTACTTGGTCAATACATCGCGACCCAACATTTTGAAGCACTCAAATCTATTCAACAAAAAATCGTGCTGTAATATACAAGCTTTTCAGTATACAATATTAATACAAGTGAAGTACAGTGCATATGTCCCATATATCCCTTCACAGAACTAAAGTAGGCTTCTAAAAAAGGTTTATGAGATGATGGAATCAAAGCTGAACTATAATANTCGTGCTGTAATATACAAGCTTTTCAGTATACAATATTAATACAAGTGAAGTACAGTGCATATGTCCCATATATCCCTTCACAGAACTAAAGTAGGCTTCTAAAAAAGGTTTATGAGATGATGGAATCAAAGCTGAACCCCCAGGAGATTTTTAGAAATACTAACATAAACTATGCATTATGGTACACTCTGAGAAGAAAATAAATAAATCTATTACTACCCGACATATTAATAATATGTTATGCCATTGTTTGTTTTTCACTTTGTTCTGACATCCTGCAGCAGAGTAAAGAGAAGACAGTCTGTGTGACTTACTTTAAATTGTGGGTAAGGGTAGATAGCTCCCATTGTTCTGTGACCTGTCAATCATCAAACCGGGGGTCATATTTCATTATGTGTTCATTTTTATCTGAAGTTGTACCCATGGATGTATAAAGAAGAGTTCTACCGCAAAGTTATTCTCCGTGGGGACTTCCGGCTACAATCTTGATTCTGATTGGCCAGAAGACTCGAAAAAACATCAGCAAAGATATTTTATTGAGAAGATGATCACTACGTGACAGAAGTTTTCAAAACCGTTTTGGTCTCCGGTGCTTCAGTCCAA